GACAGAGAGAGAGAGTGGGAGAAATATAGTCCTCTCTGGTGTAGCTTGTCTAGAGTGTCCGGTCTACGAGGCAGTAAATCGGCCCAGCTCAATGTGTGCTCTCCAAACACTGCTGCACATTATTGATAAATCATTGTGTGTTAATGAGAGGAGCTGATGTGGCCTGATGAATCACGGCACAACAATGAGCTACACACACAGCAATTTGCAGTGGCTGGATGAACACTTGGCCCCCGCGCTGCAGTAACAACTCAGTGTTATTCTATCCTGTTAACAGAACAGAGGAGATCAGGAAGCTAGAGCCACACATTTTAAAATATAACTTTAGCCACGAAAAAAGACGGACCAAGCGAAACTGCTCATAGTGCAAGATAGCTGAGCGAAATTCAGATTGTGTGGTTAGCAGATCATTGATCATTAAGGCAATTAATCAGGCGTTACTACCCCTTTCAAACTGAGCATCAAATGCCAATCAATCTGGCAGAAATTCCCCCCCCACTGTAATTTGTCGTATTTTCGCACCAACCAATTTGCAGTGGCTGTATAAACACTTGGCCCTCGCGCAACAGTAACAACTCTAGTGTTATTCTATCCTGTTAACAGAACAGAGAAGGGGCTTCCACAGCCGCTCAGAGGACAACACGAGCTATTTTGGTTTTCGCTTTGATATCCAATAGGCAGCTTAACATCCTCATTAGATCATATCAGTGGCGGACACACGCGCCAGGGCGAAATTATCTCTCTCCCACACTCGCTGCTTGAATTATCACCAAATCTCATCATTCGTTTGTGTTGATTTATTAGTTCTTCTGTGCGTAGGTGTATTTTTATGTGTGAGTAATTAAGGGTGTTCTTCCGTATATCTGCACTTGTGTGTGTGTGTGCGTGCGTGCGTGCGTGCGTACAGGGGCAAGCTGACCTTGTTATAAGCTGAGTGGGCTGTAGTGCATCATTAGTATGGGTTAGGTGAGGGTTAGAGGGTGCGTGTGTGTAGAGGTGAGGGGTGACAGAGTGGGGAGAGATGTGGTTTGACACCGTAACAGAGGAAGTAAAGGGAGGGGGGGAGGTATTTGGGTCGGGTCAGGACACGCAAACACACCTCTCCATTCATCACTTAGAAGCAGGTATCACATTTTTGAGGACACAACTCCTACACTTTAACAGTGGCCTTAAATTACCTTCAGCAGTACAAGGGGAGATGCTCACAATGCAGTGTCGCATAACAAGACATTTAAATGCATGGTAACGACATCAACACACACACATCATGTCTGTTTTGAGGTGTCATTAACTTATCTGTGGAAAGTGTCACAATATACTGGACTTCAAATGGGGAAACAAATGTGGTGGAATATGTCGGTGAGTCTCGAAAGATGGGATAAAGCAAAAAATACAAACAAATAATTAAACTTCAGATTTCATCTTTTCCATAAAAGTGGAGTATCCTTGGTTATTGTTGCAACATTTGGTCAACTAATTAATAAGTCGATTTATACAAAGAAGATTATTCACTTCCAGTCGACACTTTCCATAAAACCTCCTCCTGATGGTGATCATTTTGCTCTGGTGCTGTGCCGTTTGAGTGTTTTCTGCCTGCCTGGGAACAGTAGAGAACAGTTACTGACTTGGGCGTGACTACTGTATATGTTGTCATGGATGTCATTTGACATTCAAGCAAGCTGCAAACATAATAATGAACGTTAATGGCTGCATCCATAATATTGACACGCTCACCCGGTGCGTCACAGGAAAAAATGTGTTGATCATCTTGGATTATAAATTACAAGCTTGTACGAGTACTGATACTGTGATATGTCAAATGTTGTCAAATCTGGGTGGATTTTTTTTGTCATCATCTCTGCTGTTTATTGTCAAATAAATATTTGAGATTCTTTGGCTTTTCTCGTTGGCATCTGACGGAGGACATTTAAGATTGTGGTGGTCACATTTGTGGGGACTGGGTTAGGGTTAGGATATACAGCAGTCATTTCACTGCTATCCTAACCCTAACCCACAATATTTAATATAAATCATTCACTGTAGGCTCTGCATGGGAATGATTTGAACTCTGTGGGTGTAATGTGTCAATAAAACCAGTCAAACGAGGGCAGTGGTTTCCACCATTGTCCATCGCTCATACCAGATGAAGTGAGCAGAATATGGTTTGGCGGAAGTTAATATAGCTGGGCTGCCCATCCAAGTAAAGTCAAAGTGTGGGAAACACTGGCTTGATAAAAGTCAATAGAAGCCAAAAAAAGGCGACAGAGTCAATAGAAAGCCAATGGGACAATGGAAGAACAATGGGCACCAACCAAAATACAACACAATGCAAGACACTAAAAGCCACAGGGTGCAGAATAAGCCAATATTATCCAAATAATGCCAGCCGAAACAATGGAAGCCAAAGTGAATGCAAGCTGTAAACAGGCAGCTCTGAAGGGATGCCAGGAGGAGGAGGCTCAGGAATATTCTAGTCGTTTATTTCTGGCCAGGGGTCGACTGTGGCCTCGGGCTGAAGCTCAGAAAAGGAAACTCGCACAGAATACACACTAACATACACCAGCTAGACACACTCATGGCCAGAGGTCAGTAGTGTCCTTTCTACACTGACCACACACATGTAGAGGATGAGGAAAATACACTGCTACACATGGTACTTAAAGGGGACCTATCATGCAAAATGTACTTTTGTACGTCTTTTATACATGAATATGTGTCCCCGGTGTTCCAGGGAACTCACCAAGTGTCAGAAAACACAACCCTCTCTATTTTCCTCCATACTCAAATCTCTAAAAAAGTAAAGTGGCGCTACGGCTATTGGTCAATTCTCCACCTATCAGGGGAATGAGAGGTTGGGCCACGGCCGGCCATTGCTGCTCGAAAGCGCTGGAGACGCTGTAGTACATATGCCAGGCCTGTAAGTGGCGCTGTAGTCTGCCACAAAAGCAGCAAAGAAGACTTCCCTTGCATGGTTGCCATGGTTGCCCTTCTGTTTATTCTCCGCTGTGGCTCTTTTTCTCCCTCCCCGAGGCAAGCGTTTGCACCTCCTGCTTTAAAACAAATGAATAATGACTATGTAATCATATGTAAGGGATAATGTGCAGCGACGCGTCATTATGGGGAAAAGAACACCAACAGGCTGATCAGGAGCCCGACGCGAAGCGGAGGGATCTAGATCGGCATGAAGGCACATTATCCCGCGTATTACATGGCCACATTCTCGACAAAGTAACGACATGACTCCCAATATTAATTGAAATGCTTTTATTGATTTAAATTGACATGCATCCGCTAAGAAAAATAGTTGATAGGTGTCCTTTAAGACAGTTGTAAATCACAACCCTGAAATGGTAAAGCTGCTAATGCGTCTCTAACCAAAGCCTCGATAACTTGTCCAGGCGATTACTATAATAAACCCATCAGAGTGTGAGAAACACTGAACCCAATGGGATGGAAATGGTTTCCAACGATGGACATGGCGCGCGCTTGGTCTTTTCCCAAAGAGCTGGCACTGCCACGACCCGTCCGACATACTTTACTACGGTAATTACAATATAGAGAGCAGCCGCCTCTATGGCAGATGCTGCTTCCGTTAGAGGTTCCCCACGTAATTACAATGATGAACTTGGCACAGTGAGGTAATAAATATCACAGAACACACAAGCACACTGGTACAGTGCAGAGAAGGACACACACTTTCTCTGCATGGACGTGCAAGGAAGGTAGATGTGGGGAAAGGAACACACAAACTGTAGTGTAGACAGCTGAAGTGAGCACTTTTATGGAAGATATATAGAGTTATCAAAGATGAAAAATAAAGCTTATGTGCTTATAAAGGTTATGTGTTAATGTATAAATATCAAAAACAATTAAATAAATGGGGGGTCATTTATAAATACCCAAAACAAATAAGACAAAATAAGGCTTTTTAAAGTGTAATTGCTTTGAAGAAACACAAATAAAAAAGTAACTTCCTCCAAAGAAAACGTAAAAAATGCATCCCAAGACAAAAAAATGCAACTTTTGATTATTTATCTTTCAGCTTTTGATAAAGACAAATGATCAAACTATCTTACTATGGGTACAAATCTAAAATCAAACCTTGGCACCAAGGTGGTCTGACCTACAAAAGTACATTTTGTCCATGGACAAATTTCCAAATGTAGTGTTCAGTCCTGCCTTTCCTTATATACATTTTGAAGTGTATTGCAGAATAGATCAAAAAGGTTTTGACAAGACCACAGAAAGTATGACAAAATAAGGAATCAACATATTGTTATCATATGGATACAGATGTTGAACACTATAGAATAATAATAATGTATCTTTGCCTCGTAATGTCAAAAACCTTCTCCATATGTAGCACAGACACACTCATCGCAAACATAAAGAGTCACTGTCTCATTTAGCTTCATTGAATAATTTTGCAATAATATTTAACATGCAAACACACAAGACAAATTAGGCTGCACTGTGCTCCACTTGCCTTGGGGGAACAACAGGGAGAGTAATAGCCCCCCAGAATTGCAAATGAGACGCCTCCTGACATTTTTATATCACAATAAATCAACGTATGTATGAGCCAAGTTTGTTGTGTGCTTGCAGATTACCAGCGTGTGGTGGATGTGTTGACAAGAACAGAGTCATCCCAACAGTCACAACATGGCAGAGGTTATGCCTTTGGTCCGTGGTCTAAATCTGTGCGCATTAAGCTGGATTTGACTCCAATTGCTTTACAACCATAAATACAGGACATGATGTGTCCAGCTACCAGTAAGATTGGCTGGGATGTTTCCCAGATTCAGATTAAGTCCTGCACTGGAAATCAAAAGCTGTGGGTGTTCTCGATTGAAGCTTTACAATTGAGGATTAATCAGTAGTCTGGCAACTTAACCATCAAAATCCAGTTATTCAGTACCGGCAGAAAATGGAGCAAAGAAGATGAAGTGAAGAGGAAGAAAGTGGAAAGAGTTTGATAGGAAGGCCTTTTGGGAACTCACCTGGTCTTTTTTCCATTTTCCTCCCTCGACTGCCACATAGTCGAACTTTCGATATTAATATTAGAATTTGCTTCTGGCAGAGCGACTTGTTGCTCTTTGGGCAGGGCTTGCGCTTGCTGGCGATCTGCCGGTTCGCCTGGGGGTCCTTGACCTCCCTGCGCTGGCGAATTAGGGAGCTGGCTAGAGCGGCCATCTTCCCAGCGCTGACCCTGCAGCCGCCTCACCAGCCTCTGGCGGCTCGGTGGCACCCAGGTGTCGGGGGGTACCGTGGGCCACCCCCCTGCCCGCTCACCCAGGGCGACGGAGCACCGCTGAGGGAGCAGTGTAGATCGGTGGAGTGGGCTTCTGAGGAAGGACCGTATCACGGGGAGAAGGGCACAACAAGAGGAGATGGGGGAAATAGGGGTGGATACCACAAAGGCCCACCCAAAACTGAAAATGGGTGCTTTTTGAGGTTGGATTGATGAAGGTTTGTCTTCTAGTTTATTTTCAGGTGAAGCTTATTACAAATCACTGTACTTCTTTTAGGACCAGTCATGTCATCCACCCAAATCCATTGCAGTGTAGCCCACCAATATGTCCTTGTCCAATCGACTCTCCTCCTGGAGCTCTAATCAAGTTCAACCCCGTCCGATAGAACCATTCGCTTCGTGACGAAAGCAGAAAAAAGAAAATACCTGCTCAGTCCTGCAGTTAAGACGCCTGCACCTATTCGGTGGGACGCCCGGATGTCAACGCTCCAAAATAACAGGAGTGACAGTGCTCCTTTTCCTTCTGTCCCCCAACCTTTACAATTTCTCCAAGCAAAACAATGTCAGAGCACGAGTAGTAGAAGAAGTAGAGACTGTCCGACCTGAGGTATCAGCTTTTGGAGCTGGGACGAGGAGGAAGGGGTGCGGATGGACCCCGCTGGACGAAGTGCATCTTGTTTCCGCGCTGTCTCTCAAGCTCTTCTGGCATCACCCTTGCGTTCACCCGCACCCTGAGAAAAGAAGGGGAAAAAAGACAGGGAGCTTGACAAATCCAGCATTTCCCAGAGATAGAGGTGACATTCAGAGAGCGACGCTATAGAGACCGAAAGGGACACAGAAAAAATGAGGGGGAAAGGGAGGGAGAGTCTATCTATCCCCCCTATCGGATCGGACTCTCCAACTCTCTAGGCAGCGCGCTACACCACAGCAGAGTCTGTGTCCTTCAGCCTTGCATGCTTCCTCGCAGCTGGGAGAAAAGAGGGATGAATGAATAGAGGGACACGGAGGGAGAGGAGGTGAGGTGAAGGGGAATGGAGAGGTGACAGGTAGCCATGCCTTACGATAGATGCTGCTCCTCCTGCCAGAGTCTCCACCGGTGGGTGACAGCAGTCCGGTCTGGTTCTGTTGAGTCAGTGTGTGTATGTGAGAAGAGAAAGTGTGTGTCTCCTCTACCTCAGCGCACACATGTCAGGGAGTGTGTACATGTGTGTGTAAGAAGGAGCGACACAGTGTGAAGGTGTACGGGTGTAAGGGTGTGTGACGGAGGCAGCATGTACTCGTGTGTGTGTGTGCATATGTGTGTGTGTGTGACTTGCTCCCTGTTCACAGTGCATTACTGAGTGAGGGCTGGCAGCGTGCTTCACATGCTCTCCCTCCCTCTCCCTCTCTCTCTCCCTCGCACACACTCCCTCGCCTCACTCTCTCAAATCTATTTCCCTAAACCCTCCCCTTTGCTCTTCTTTCTCCCTCCCTTTTCTCCTCCCCCTCCGTCACTCAGTCCCTCCTTTCCACGTACAAAGTCGCTTCTACCTCCCCTATTCTCTCCGTCACTTCTCCGGTACCAAACTGAGCCGGGTCAGAGCAGGGTGCCCCCACAACTCCAACCTCCTACTCTCCCACCCCACCCCACCTTCTCTGATGTGATGTTGGCTTAAAGAGACAAACTAAGCCAGGTTGTCAGTGCTGTGCTATGACAAGGACGTATAGATGCCGCGACACTGTCTGAGTCAGTTGGGACTTTGCGTCACTGCCGTCACATCATCCATACATCTGCATCAGTCAGTCATACGAACACACTCTTATGAAACACACTGCACACTCCACTTCAACAGAGTATGGAACTAGATCAGATCAGACATGTTGTTAAAAAGCCAACAATTGTACAACTATAGAAGGAGGTAAATCAGAAATGGGGATAATAATGTGTAAATTGTATTTTTGTTTTCGCTACAGATGTCAATCATGTCCTTTGTACCCCTGACTTTTCCCCTAGCACCAATATGATATAAGAACATCCCATGACCCTCAGCTGTGTTGGTGCTAATTTGCTAATGGTTGCATAATAACATGCTAAACTGAGATGGAGGACATGGTAAACAATATGCATTTTAACATCAGTATGCAAGCATTGTCATTGTGATCATGTTGATCTGCAACTGAGAAGTCAATCGTCGGGTGAAGACCATGAGATGTGGTTTATGTAAAAAAAACGGATCTTTAACAGGAAACTGCATTTTCTGGCAATCGGTAATACAAATAAACAATGAATACTTGGGATCTGAGCGATAAGTTCACGGTAAGGTTGATGTTAGTCATGCTTTGTTAACAAATATTTCTTTAGTTTAGATACTCTCTTTAGATAGTTCTACTCTCTCGTTCTGTGAGGGCTTATTTATGAATGCCCAGCTGAATAACACTGGTGATTAGCTGGCAGCATGGCAAGATTCCCATCAGATTTGGCCAAAGACGTGGTGACGTGAAAGTGAATTACTGAATCACACTGTATCTGGAACACGGCATCAGCTAAATTGATTGCTTTCTGATGTTCTACACCGCTAGGTATGGGTCCACCACACAATTGGAGTCATTACAAACATGTCAGGGTTTTTCATTACTCCCTGAATAGTATCCAGAACTCACCCCTGAATCCTTGCAATAGGCGTTGCTAACTGTAGAAAGAACGGGGACATCGTCTTTCATTGTTAACACATTATTAATAAAATGTCAGATTTTTTTTTTAAAAACAAAACACCAATTCAGTCTGATTAGCAGGCTAGGTTAATCTCTTACACTGCTAGCTTAGAGTTGTATTCTATTAGCAACAATAGACCGGACTGGTGAGGAATTACTAAGAGCAGTCCCAATGATTAACTGCCAACACCGGTGGAAAAAAAGAAAAGAAAGAAGAATTCCCCTCCTGTTTGTAATACAAGGTTTAAATTAAACTGAGATGACAGCAGAGCAACAGCCTCAGCCCCCAGAGCAGCCAGCATTCCCCTGAGAGGGCAAATGTTAAATGATAGAGGGATTCTGTGATTGTAGGCAGACCTGCTGTAGTCCCTCCCTCCCCATTTTTGCTGGCCTAGCAGGGAACGAGAAGAGAAAGCCCTGCAGGATTCCCCTTACGCCCCCACACACACACACACACACACACACACACACACACACACACACACACACACACACACACACACACACACACACACACACACACACACACACACACACACACACACACACACAATCACCTATCACCACCGTATTGCAGTTTCCTGAGCTGTTAAATAACGTAATTACCTCTTTCACTCTCCTTGCCCTGTCCTCATACTGCACCATTGCTATAATTCCCACCTCCCCACCCAAGGGCATCCCTCACCCTCTCCCTTTCTATTATACCAAACCCCCTAGTCTGGTGGGAAGTTGCCCTAACCCTAACCCTAAAATCACAAACGTGGCCTGTGCTGGGACAGACAGTTACCAAATTAACCCTAACTGGGGGAAAAGTCTGGCTGAGTAAAAGGACACAGTTCCAAAAAGCAATTGGAGGAAGGTATAAAGGGGGGATTTGGTTTTGGGGGGTGTAGAGGAACAGACGCTGATCTTTTGCAATGAAGACATCACTCAGTACAAGCAAGCCAAACATTAGAGAGTGTTAGAGAGAGTGCCAACAGGGAGAACAGAGACGCAGAGGAGACAGACAATAACCCGGGCCAAGATGGAGAGGGACAGAGGAAGAAGACAATGAAACAAAGAGGGACAGAGAGCAGGAAATAAATGTACTGAGTCAGTTTGTGTGTGTCTGTATTTCCTGGGCCAAAGCCATCAACCAATGACAGGGCATGAATCTGTGAGCGAGTCAGTTTCCATCGGCAAATGCCTTAGAGGGTGACACTATGATCAGGCAGCAGCATTGTTTTCCACTCCGCCCTCCCTTTTCTCCACTTTCCACCCTCCATCTCTTCACCCAGATGGACTGATCTATTTGCACATCCCCAGTTAAATTCACATGGTTCTTTATTGCTAAAGTACAACAACACTTATTTCAAAAACGCATGCAGTGACACTACAGGTGAATAGGGTAATTGTTTTAACTTAAAGATATCAGCTAGAGATTTCGCTGGTTAATTACTTACATTATGAAAATTGTTTTTTGTATTACAAGTTTTATGAAATAGCATGTTTAAATATGCAAATGAGCCATAATCTCATTAAATATGCACATATTTTAATACATTTCAGGAACACAAATCTGAACATTGGATAAAGCCAGGTTCAAAATTCTCATTTCATTTTGTAGTCATATTAGAATCTAAAGTTTTTACAGAAGGGATTTTGGATATCTCTTTTTATCACTCCATAAATCAGAAAATACTGTCAACAGCCCTAAAATATCAATTTTCGCCATGTTTTTAGGTATAAAATGTTGTATAATTCAGGCTATGAAAGATATATTAACAAACCCTTATGTAAAGACCTTCAGAATACTGATAGGAATATAACTGGAAAGTGTGGTGTATGTAAGTGCTACTGAAGTGGAAATGTCTCACTCAGAATAGGAGAAAAAACTCATTTTGAGAAAACGACCTAAAGATTGCTGTGTGGCGCTACCTAAACCCTCCTGGTCATTGGATGACAGCTTGCGCCTCGACGCACTCCGTGAAGGTATTTCATGGTCAGGGTCATTTGTTTTTTGTCTAACCTTGCTTCGTGCAAATGAAAATTGTTGGAGAGGGGTCTGCCTGCAGGCCTCCACTCTCAGGACAGTTCCGGTGTGGAATCCACTCTCAGGACACCTCCACTCTCAGTACAGGAAGTGACGATTCTGACGAACACGTTTTTTGCCCCGCCCCCCGAAGGACTCGTCTGATGGAAGTTTTAAAATCACAATGGAGACTCATCACGGAGGTGATGAGTCCGCTCACCATGCACTTTGGGTCGGCCCTTTTGACCCTAACCAGCCTGGTTCTCGTAAAAGTTGACTTAGCCATGTTTCGCACAAATGACACCATGGAGGAATTTTTCTCCTCTCACTGATCAAACGCGACCCACCATCGGAGGGCCTCCGCCGGCCCAGCCTAGTGCCGGTGCTCTGGTGGTCGGTTCATCCGAACTGCGGGTTCGACTCTGATGGCCGGGAGGGTTTGCTGCGTTGGGGTGGGGGACTTCCCCCACTCTGCGTGTCTCTTCCTTCCCGGGCCGGCCGTTATGAAGCCTGACCAAGACGCACCGTCTGACTCAGGGGTCCGGGTCACGCAGCGGGTTGGAGGTTCCGGGCTTGAACCTCCTCATCTCCGCCGCGGTGCACCCGGCAAACACGGTTGTTTCTCGAACCCTCCAGTGTTGTCTAGCGGGTGTAACTGAAATACAAGATGTCGTTATTTGTATATATAAATATATAATAAGTGTCAGTGCGATTTTATTTTGTATTAGCATGCATTTCCTGTTCGGAAAGTGGCGCTGTACTGAGAGTAAACAATACAAGGTGTCCCTATTTCCCCCACCCCAACGCAGCACACCCTCCCGGCCATTAGGGCTGTGCATCTTCACTAGTCTCACGATTCGATTTGATTACGATTATCCTGTCAACGATTCGATTCAATTCGATATCCCGATGCATCACGATTCATACCAATGCGTTGCATCCTCAATTTTCTATATTACTGCACATGGCTTATTTTTCATCAATGCATACATGCAGTAAATACATATGAACTCTCTTTTTATTATTTAGAAAGTGCTTCAGAAATCAATAACATAAATGTCTTGACAGTCATTTATAAACCAAAATAAATGAATTGTATAGGTCTAGCCTCCCTATATCTGTGTGTGAAGTTGTTCCATCCTCAAAAACAAAAAAATAATGCTTCTGCAGTCTAGCTGCAGCTTCTAGCAACAGTCTTCTGTTAAAAAAAGGACACTGAATGTCCTGAATGTGGCATCACACACAGGACTTGAGTCTGAACACAGCAGACAACAGGAGTATTTAAAATAGCATATACAAACAAAAATACTGCATGTGGGTGCACACTTACATTCTCTGTCTTACTGTTACATGAATGTATGAGATTAAATTAGCTTCATCATATCTCAGTGATTAAGTGAATAATAAAGTTTCTATCGGGTCACTGTCAGCCTGTCACTCATTATTTTCAGGGAGGGGGCGGGGTTTGGAGGAACGGAGAGGAGACGGTGATCGCGGAAGCTTTTTTCCTCCTGCCTTCACAAACTTTACACACGTATAAATCGTCTGAAAATTGCTAGAGGACATTCATACTTTGCAATCCAAGACTTAATTAAATCCACCAAAAACCTGACATGATTGTAA